GATGTTAAATATGGTGTCCTTCAACTGGAAAATGGGATAAATAATAAATAAATAAACAAACAAATAAATAAAAAGTGACCAGCAACACTACAGAAAGATGAAAGCTTCCAGCTGAGGGTCAAGGACCACCCATACAGCTTCTAAAATGGTAGTGTGACCTTGCTCAGGAACCCAGTCTCTTAACTGACTTGAAAGATGAAGCTTTATATAAGCCTCAGGTCTCATCACTTCCATTTCTGTCTGTTTTAATGTCCAAAGTCAGTTATTTTTACATGTGACTATCTCACAGCTCTTTATCTGAAAACTTTTGAGAGAAAAATAAAATGACTCGCTGAAATAGAAGTACCATTAGGCTCCCAGTTTCTTCCAAAACAAAACAATCAGTCAACCCTTTTAATTTACTTACTGCAGTGAATGTCCTACAGTCAACATCAATCCACAGTGATAAACAGAGAGAGTAACAAATAGTGTTTTCCATGGAAATGACTAAGAATAATGGCCAAAGAAAATGAAACAATGGCATTGTGTTCCATAATAATGCTGAACTACAAAGTTTGTGAAATGGAGAACAATGGGAACTCAACATCACATTGACTGAAACTCCAGATCCAACATAACACTACATCCTCTACAACGCAGAAGTAAAAAGATTTTTACTTATACACTTGAATTATTTCAATGAAGTGGTACCATCTTTCCAGTATTTTCTGTTTTCCCTTTCAATTAACTAACTTGGACAAGATTTCTCCTCTTATGTAATATTTCTATATACACCACCTCATCTGATTCTCACGAAAACCACATGCAGTAGATAAAGCAAGTATAATTATTAATCACCATTTTACAGATAAGGATGCTGAGGCTGGCACAGTAATGGCTTCTCCAAGGGCTCATAGCTAAGGGGAAAAAACTGACTGAAACCAGGACATCTATGCTTTCTCCACTAGTCCTTGCAGTCTCCTAATCACATACTTACATAGAGGAATACAGGTGACTAAGCGTTTCCACACGAGTGGCTCCTTTCTAATTAACAGCCATCCAGGAATTACTGAAAAGAAAGTCAGTGAAGAATACATAAGAGTGCCTGATAGGCTAGTGATGTCAGTTACTGCATATTTCAAGCCTGAAATGGAAAGTCTACAATCAGTTCTCAAAGAGGAGGAGTCCAAGTTAATGCTGGTAAAGTACTTAGAGCAGTTTGTGGCATACTGTAACCAATAGACAAAGAGTAGGAGTGTTTGTTAAATGGGCATACAAACACCTAAATGTCCAGGGCTGGCAGGTATTTTTTCTTTAAGGTTTTATCTCTACTAGCAGGGCAAAGAATAATAAAATAAATAATAATAACAATAATGATAATAGCTAACATCAGCTTTAATCTTCATAAAACTGTATAAAAATATATTAGTTCCAGTTTTCAGATGGGAAAACTAATGTCAAGCAACTTATGCCAAAGTCTTACTGTTATACTAACAGGACAGCTAATATTTGGTGCTGGGTTGTCCTCTTCTAAATTCTTTCCACCCTATTGTGCTTCTTTCATATCTAATTAATTCGGTCAGTTGAGATAATAATTCAATCACAAAATATTTTAACCTCCAAACCTTTCCTATTCCCTTAAACTGTCTACATCTGTCCTCTCAATATGAAAGTCACATATAACTACTGAGTACTCAAATTCTGTGAGTCCTAATTGAGATGTGCTATAAATATAAATTATATACTTAGAATAAAAAATATAAAATAACTTATTAATAAATTATACTATTTATTATATGTTAAAATCATAACACTTTAGGCATATCGGGTTAAGTTAAATATATTATTAAAAATTAATTTCACTTTCTTTGCTTTTTTAATATGGCTGCTAAAAAATTTAAAGTTATATATATATAACTAATGTTATTTCTATTGGACAGTGCTGCTATAGGTTATTGTTTCAAAATCCATCTACTTTGTCCCCATATGCTGATCTCAGAGAGGATTAACTAGGATGAAAATATTTTTACCTTTGAATTAATCCCATGGCATAAGTCTATAACACAAGATGTCCAAACATAGAGTCCCATAGCATCTGTCAGGTTTTTTTTATTTTTTTTTACCATAATCCACAGAAAGAAAATATGTCATATAGCAAACCCAGAATAATCTGGTATTCCTTTATATATATATACTATATTTAGTTTTATAGAGTTATACATAATATAACAAAAACAACAATTTCATGAAGTAACAGTTCTTTCCTGATATTTTCCATTCAATTTTCTGCTATTCTATTTTTTTAATGTTGGCTATAACCCACTAAACTAATTTTACCACCCACTAATGTGTTGCAATGTACAGTTTTTAAAACTCAATACAACGTCTGCAAGTGAGACACTGATTCTGTCTACATAGAGGTAATAACTAAGTACCTTAGTAACTAAGAGATGAGGCAGGCAGAAATGAATAGGCTAGCAGAGGCCTGTAGCTACAGCAAATTCTGTGAACTGTCCAGTGGTAAAATTGAGGGGAGCTCATCAGGTTAAATATTTCCTCCCTCCTACAGAGTCAGAGTTAAGGGTCATGTCTAATGTTCACCTATTGTTCTGTCTGCTCAGAGTTGCCCCTTCTTATAAGAAAATGTATATGCTTCTTTTGGTACCTGCTCTGCTTACACAATCCCCATTCCTCCACCCAGCTCCAGCCATGAGAAATTCCCCTATGTTTTTGGCCATGTCTGATGACTCAGGGGTGGGAACCCCATCCAAGTGAGACCTCTTCCTGGGATTTGTGGGCATCTAACTAGAACAGGACAAAGTCAATCTTCTCTGATGATAAAACTCCCTAAGTCTCAACTTGGAATTTGCTGGTGGTCATGTCCTCTGCCATGCAGAAGAATTGTTTTATTATAGAAAAGAGTGAAGGAAAGAGAAGCAGAGGTGAGAGTTGCAAAGAGGTCAGTGGGCCCAAGTCCTTGCAGGGCCAGTTTCATGGTCAGGTGGCCCATGCAGCTTCACAGGATCCTGTACTTTCTTTAGTGCTCTGCTGTGACGATCTTGAAATTCTCAATAATTTTCAAACAAGAGGCCTTGCATTTGCATTTTATACTGATCCTCGAAAATTATATAACTGGTCCCAAGGCCTTGGTTCCAATTGTTCCTAAACCCAACAGGATCCTCGCCCTTTCTAAGATTGGATCATTTAGCTGTTCTTTCAATTATGTGAGAGTCTTCCACCAAATTCTCTATTTTTCTAAGCATCTTAGAAGTAGGTTCTTTTACTTGCAGCCAAGAATCTGAACTACACTGTGGTCAGAGATGCAAAGTTAGGTCAATAACACAATTCCAGAGACTCCAAGTCACCCTGTGTGCCCAGACGTTGGAATTCTGTCCCTGCCCCTGAGGCTTCTGACTTTTCTGAACTGCACCTCTGAGGAATGGGCATCTCCCTTCACCAGAGTCTAGGTTAGAGTGGTTGGTAGCATTTAGAGACTAGCACTTATTTCAGGCATCTTGGAATACAACTGAAGGTGCTCTCCTTAATATTACATATTCAATCCGTATGTACCCAAACTGTACCCTCTTTATTTATCTATCTGGAAAGCAAGCAAATAAGTAAGATAAAGCATGTCCCCAGTATAATATTACAGTCCAGTTGAGGAAAGGGTTTTTATTTGTGTCATGCCCATCATCAGTTTTAAAACATATTCACGGATGATCATTTGTTTAGGGAGGAAAATAAAATGGCCATACCTAGTGGTATGCAGTGACTTAGTTGTGCTAGTTTGGGCATGGTTATCTTTAGACTGATCTGTTGGCAGAACTAACGAACACAGAACATGCTAACATTTTTTAAAGTGAGAAAGTATTTGCCCCCTTCACTTTGATTTAGTGGTCTGGGGTTCCCCCAAGTCCTTTTGAACTGTTTGCTCTTGAACTACATTTATTTCTAATGAATTTGCAGTAATTGATGTGCTTCTAAAGGAAGAAGGAGTATGAGGAAGCATGTGTGATTAATCTTCAACAGAAGGAACAGATCTAGTTGAAACAAAAGTGGAATTCCAGTGAGATTATCTAGAGGCTACTGCCACTCTCCACACACCCAAAAAGCTTCTCTGGACACACAGCAGCTGTCTCCCTAAAGTGTTCTGCAGGACAGTCACCGGGCACCAAACAAAAAAGATGTGAATTGGGCATGAGATGATGGATTTCCAAGTAATCGGGTAGCAGAGGCTATATCCTCGGGACCCGTGTCTTCTTAAAAATGTCTCCAAATTCAGCATTGCTTGTATTCTTCAGGGATATGTGAGTGCCTTTAGGTGATCTGTGTAAGAAATTCTGCGTGATATCTAAGTGATCTCTTACAAAGACTCTGAACCCCGTGTCCTGAAAAAAGTACAGAAAGATCTCAACTCTGGCCTCCCCTCCCAGGAAATGATGGGAGATATATAGCATATCAATGTTTTGATGTAGCATCTCGTTTAGTCCTTACACTGGGGCCATAAAGCAAACATAAGAAGTCCTCGGTTGCAATTCATTCAGCACATATTTGTTAAGCACATACTGTATGTATGTCAGGCACTGTGCTGCCCCAATGCTGCAGAGAATAATATAGATGTGGTCCCTGTCCCTTGGCATTGACTTTCTCAGGAAACCAAAAAAATAAATAAAAATAAGTGAGGAAAAGAGGAGATAAAATAATTGCGATGGGAATAGAGGTTATATGGAAAGCTACAGGGGTTTGAGAGAAGGAAGAGGGAGGTGGGTATTAAGGGCATCCCCCACGCTCTGCTCTCTCCTCCCTATATTCCTACCTCTTTAGCTCCCCTCATCTCTCTCACCCCCTTTTCCCTCCTTCTCCCCCTCCTCTCCCCACTCCCTCACTGATTCACCCCACCCTCTGCCCCTTTCCTCTGCACGGCGGTCCCGCGAGTCCCTCCCCCTCTCCACCAACCACACCCCGTGGCTCAACCATCCGGGCGCGAGCCCCCGCCCCCCTCAAGTCCACTGTCCCTGCCCCCACCGCACCCCGCGAACCCTGCCGTTGCCGGGTCCCCCATGGGAAACGAGGCCAGTTACCCGGAGGAGATGTGCTCCCACTTTGACAATGACGAAATTAAAAGGTTGAGTAAGCGGTTTAAGAAGCTGAACGTGGACAGATCAGGCTCCCTGAGCGTAGGAGAGTTCATGAACCTGCCAGGGTTGCGGCGGAACCCCTTGGTGCGGCGAGTGATCGACATCTTCGACACCGACGGCGATGGAGAAGTAGACTTCAAAGAATTCATCAGGGGGGCCTCCCAGTTCAGCGTCAAAGGCGACAAGGAGGAGAAGCTGAGGTTTGCCTTCAACATCTACGACATGGATAAAGACGGCTACATTTCCAATGGGGAGCTCTTCCAGGTGCTGAAGATGATGGTGGGCGACAGCATAAAGGACTGGCAGCTGCAGCAGCTCGTCGACAAAACCATCATCATCCTGGACAGGGACGGTGACGGGAAGATATCCTTCGAGGAATTCAGTGCTGTGGTCGGAGACCTGGATATCCACAAGAAGATGGCCCTTTGTATTTGAACCTTCTTAAGAGCACCACCGGACAACATCGTGTGCTTTCTGTCTCTTTCAAGTTTTGTTCAAGACGTCGAGCAGCTCTCTCTCTGACTTACCTGGAAGTATTTCTCCTTGTGAAGCCATATTCTCTAACACAAGCTTCATCATCAACTCAGTGTTATTCATTCTTCTCTCAATGATTCAGGTTAACGTGAATGGAAGAGCAAAACCAGGAGCGGAAAGAGAGGAAATGGCTTATATAAACATCTTTTTGTTGTTGCTGTTGTCCTGATTCAGAGGCCAAATCAGAAGAACTTTAAAAGTTCAAAAATAAGAAAATATATATATTTGCCTCCATTTCTCGTCATTTTGTATATGATAGGAAATGTACAGTTTGCATGGGTGTTTTCCTCTACTCGTGGTGTTCAGATATCTTGACAAGATTGTTGACTTCCTATTCTAGCAACAGGGACAAATACATTTCTGTTTGCCGAGTACCTTTAATCACCTCCCTCAGGGAACAGAAGCCCATCTTTCCCTTTCACAGGCTGCAAACCCCATTCCCCATGAGGCATCCAGAAACCTCTGAGTGTGATTAAAGGGTAGGAGTCCAGTCAGATTTCTTCTGTGGCACAGCTCCATCTCCTGAACAAAAACTAGCTCCAAGACTCTTATAAGAAATGCTAAGGCTGGACTAAGTGCTCAGTTCAACTATCACTCTTCATAGCAGCAGGTTTTCAGGGTTAGAGACCCTCTCTAGTATTAAGTTCCATAAAGGGGCCTTCTAGCTAAATAGGGCAGGGAATTTTCCCAGAAAGTGCTCTTGTCTCCAACACATACAGGTCCCCATACAGGTGGTGGAATTGGAGCAGATTCAGAGTCAGTCATTTCACAGGACCAGAGACAGTAAAGATTCAAGCTGCAGTGGATTCTCCCCAGAAGGCTGAATTGGCATTGCCCCCCAGTGCACAGAGAGGCAGAGATTTGACAAGCATGTCTCTACAGCAGAAGTGAGTGCTGGCAACAATAGCCAAGTTTCATTTTGAAAACCAGATCTGGGGCCTAGCAGGGAAACAGAGAGCTCTCTCATTCTAGGAAGCCTTTTCCCTAATGTAACATTCAGCCCAGAAATCCTCACAACCTAATGGACTTCCACCCAGAAGGAATGTGCTGGAGCATATTAGTTCTAGAGAAGATCCAATGTGACAAGTCTCTCTCTCACTAGTTATGCCATTTTGGTAGCTTAGATTGGCCACAATGAGAAAAGACTTGTAGATGTTTTGTTTGTTTCAGAGAATTATTTTCCAGTGAGGACACCACTCCTTGCACCCCAAATGTTGCCAGCTCTCTGAGGTCCCACACACCACTGTCAGTTTTCAGAGCACAAGATATTCTCAAAAGAGCAGGGTCAGGACTGGGTCCCAGCATCTGCCACTTCACACCAATCCTCTTTCTCACAGAGGACCGCTCCCCATTTAAGGTGCTTAAGACTCTCAAAACATCAAGAAAATGAATCATATTCTCCCTATACTTAGCCAAGAGAGAACAACCACTTAGGTGATTTTTCTCATTACAAGAACGATCTGTTTCAAGGAGATTTATTATTGTTAGATTTATTTCATCATCATCATTATTATTATTATTAAGAGATGAGTGTCTTGCTTTTATGCCCAGGCTGGTGTTGAACTCCTGACCACAAGCGATCCTCCTGCCTCAGCTTCCCAAAGTGTTGGGATTGCAGGCATGAACCACCACCCAGCCTACTATTATTAGATTTTGAAGTTGGCAACTAGTCTTGAAAAAAAGGAAAAATAAGTCCACAGATTTAACCACTGATAAGGCACCCATCGGCCAAGGGACCTAACCACAGTTTTTATATATCAGATTACTGAGGAACCACAAAGAGGACTCCTTGTCCTTTTAATTCCTGTGCAATCCTAAAAAAGTATTAGCAATCAGGAAACACTTCCAACCCTGTGGTGATATTTTATAACTCCATTGCATGGTAACAATTCAAAGACACAGACACACCTGGCTTTGGATTCAATTACAAATGGGTAGTTACCACAACCACTTATTTCAAGTTGTGTGAGTATGAGTAACTTAGCCTCTCTGTGTCTTCTAACCTAATTAAAAAGAGAATCCACCCCAGGATTACTTTGAAGATTCAAAAAAAGACAAAAATATGCAAGGTACTTAGAACATAATATTATGTTTATTCTACAAATTCCTTTCCTGCTCCTCCCATTGTACATGATCAATATGTAAAGGAGAAATAAATCCTACTGGTTCTTTTTGAACCTTTACTTAGTTCTCAGCCATGCCCACTCTAAAATTAACTGGACATCTGTGTAATCTTAGCCCATAAAGAAAACAACAGGAATAATGTCAAGGTTCTCTCCACCCCTTCATTTGCAGAGGGGACAACAGACATCTCGGATTGAGAATTGAAGAAAGAGAATCACTTATTCTAGCTCACTCTAACTTTGTGGAGAAAATGTTCTATGAAGAAAGTGAACACATGTCATGCTAGCCAAAAGGACTTCTTAAAGAAAAACATTACTCATATACTCTACAATGTGCACATTAAAATATGGAAATTTTTAAATTATGACCAGTTAGATGTGATGGCTCATGCTGAAAATCCAAGCACTTGGGGAGGCCAAGGCAAAAAGATTGCTTGAGTCTAGGCATTCAAGACCAACCTAGGCAGCATAATGTGATTTTATCTCCTCAAAAATAATCAGAAAATTATCCAGGCATGGTAGTGCATGCCTGTAGTCCCAGCTACTCTGGAGGCTGAGGCAGGAAGATCTTACCTAAGCCCAGGAGGTCGAGGCTGCAGTGAGCTATAACTGTGCCACTGCACTCCAGCCAGGGAGGCAGAATGAGACCTTGACTCAAAAATAAAAATAAAAATAAAATATGACCAAGGGTTTGAAATATGCTGGATTATGTGTTCAAATTTCACAAAGGAAAAAAAAAAACGTTTCGCTTCTGAAGTGACTGGAATTTTAAAAAGTGAATTGCTCAATCTGTCCACCTAATATAGTTACCCAAGACTTTATGACAATGACTGTTTCTGGCATTAGCACTTGAAAGAGCTGACTGGATATTTGAAGAAAAGAATCACATTTACTTCCCAGATAGAATGCTTAGGTTTTTTTTAATCTCAGTTAATTGCCAGTTGCCAACAAATCTGGTTCTATACAATTCCTTGAGGTGATGATAATAGGTAACATTTATTGAACAATTGTTTCATAACTTTTGATATAACCTTTGCTATATCACTTAATTATCACAACACTGTATGGTGGGTGCCATCATTTCAGCTTTACAAATGATGCCATAAAGAGATCCAGAATCTTCTCCAAAGTCACCCAGCTGGCAAGAGGCAAGGCAAAGATCTGACCCAGGCTTTCTGATCCCATACCCTGAGAGTCGTTTTGTTTGTTTAGTTTTGTTTTTTTAACAATACAAAGCCTGCAACTCAATAAGCTTTGTTTCTACTTCACTGCATTTCTCCTATTTTTATGGTTCCTAAATTTACCTGTTTCAAATTATTTCTGATAGTCTTATTAATGCAATCAAATCAAGCCTCAATTTTCACAAAAGAGAAAACTGAAGCCCAAAGAGGTGAATTGCTTGTCAAGGAGCAAACAGCTCCCACCTCTTTGGTTCTCTGCATTACAAAGAAACAGATATATTCGGCAGGACAGTTTTAAACCATCTTCCATTTTCATCTCATCTCAAGAAACAGAAAACAGTATTTAGATTAAACTAGTAAAGCAACCAATATGCTCTGAGGCTGTAGAGATCTGTGACAATATGTTGTTATGAGTCCTCCATGAGTGGATTGTTGCCATATGTTGCAATCCCCAGACCACTAGAGGCTTTTGAAACAGAGGAAAAAATATGACCTCAGCACAGTTGGTTTATATTTTAAGTATATTGTGCTTTAGAAATATTCTTAAGGAAAAAAACATTCAGATTTTATTTTTCAAATACAAATTCCATCCTTTACTCATGCTATTCTCTCTGTTAGGATGTAGAGTAGGTAATTAGTCTGGCTATGGTGTTTCATCTGTTTTGCATGCTTTAAAAAGAGAATGACTCAGATGTTTTTAAAGATGTTATCATGATAGAGGAATAAGGCCACTAGATTGAGAATCAGACTGGACTTCTCTCCTGTTGTGTTGGCTGCCATACCTATTTCAGAGGCTGATGACTGTGAATTATAAATCATGTATATGTCACCTTTAAAGGAATGAGTTGATTTATAATGAAAAATCATAACACTGAGGGGACACTGGTAGCAATAAAGCTGTGTAGATAGGGGACACAATTTGGCAGTTCATGGGCTAAATCTGACTCACAAATGTTATTTTTTGTTGATGACTTACAGGTGTTTGTTCTCATAATGCTATTTAAAAATTTGCCAATATTTTAAAAATTCAAAGATTAAAAATCAAAATTAACATAAAGAGATGCAGGCCACTACTCTAAATAGAAGTGGCCTTTTATTGACTAAGTAGCCACTAAAGTATTGGGACAAAGCTAAAAGTCTCAATGAAGAGAAATGAACATTCTTAATTTCCATTCATAAAAGAGGAAAGTGAAGCCCAAGTGCTACTTTTTAGCACAAAAAGTTAAGATGGACTGAAATGTTCATCATTTTTTAAAATTCAACACTAGACACAAAATATTATCCTAACAACCAATATTTTCTAATGACTGAAGCAATAGAAGAATGTACAATAATCAAAATAAGTTTAGCCAAGTATAATTTCAAACTTATAAAATGAATCTAACAAAACAAAGATAAAGATAACAGGAAAATTTAAAAGGGAGAAACATTTATAACATGTTAGAAAAAGAGTTAGTAGCTTTTCAATAAAAAGCCTCCTTATGTCCGATATGCTATAAATATTTATGCAAAAAAATCATATATGATTCGTACAAAAAGAGGAAAGACATACTAGGGAAAATATTCCATTCAAATTAGAATATTTAGAACAGGAAAAAAATGACTAATTATAAAATAAGATTGGCAAAGATATGAGCCTTCTGATTATTGCAGTACCTTTAGTGGCATTAGGAATGGTTTCTGCCCCCT